GCAGCTGAAAGCTGAAGTTTGCCTTCATTTTAAGTCACAACAAAAGTTTGGAGGTTTTTAAGCATGTGTTCATTTGCATGTTTCCAAAAAATATTCTTATTTGTCATTTTCTCAAATACTGACCTCAGCTTGCTTCAAACAAAAGGCCTGGTTGGTTATTTACTGGGAAACCAGAGGTGTGCTTGTTTAAAATTCATCCTGAACTTGCCTGAAATCTGGTTTCAATTCCTTTTGGAAACTTCCTTGAGCCTCTCAGGTTTTCAAACTATGACCACTCTTTGAGGGCACAGGCCTGGTTTTGCATGCTAAATGTGGGGGTTGTACCTGTGTTTAAAACTGAAACAAGTTCTCCTGTTTAGGTAAAAGAAATGCTGGAGTCTCTCTGGGTCCAAATATAGTATGATTCAATATAGTCCTAACACTTAGAGCCACCATACTTACTGACATCCCCACATACAATTTCAAATGCAGTGGAATCACTTGCTTACAATTAGAGCACATTTGCAGATTATAGAGCATGACAATGTGATTTCTCCCACTGCAATGAAGTTCATGGTTTGCAATTCAAGCCAAACTTCAGATGTGCTGGCAGAGCAACAGGCACTGCTGTCACAGCAGGCACACCATGCTGCCCCACACTACCAATCAGCTTGGGATATCCAGAGAGGCAGGGCTACAGCTTGGATCATTGCAGGCCCATTCACTGCACTCTTGAACTGTACTAATGCAGCCACAGCCCTCACCCTAGTGCAAATGCCATGAGGGTTCACTGAATTTCTATTAAGGATAGGGGTTTTCACTTTTTTCCTCAAGCTGCAGACCAAATCAGGAGAGATGTTCATAGAATCACAGAATGGTTTGGGTTGGAAGGGACCATAAAGCTCACCGAGTTCCAAACCCCTGCCATGGGCAGGGACACCTTCCACTAGACCAGGTTGCTCCAAGCCCTGTCCAACCTGGCCTTGAACACTGCAAGGGATGGGGCAGCTACAGCTTCTCTGGGCAACCTGTGCCAGCACCTCACCACCCTCACTTCTTCCTAATATCCAATCTTAATCTCCCCTCTGTCAGGTTAAAGCCATTCCCCTTTGTCCTGTCCCTACAGGCCCTTGTCAAAAATCCCTCTCCAGATTTCTTGTCAGCCCCTTCAGGCACTGGAAGCTGCTCTATGCTCTCCTTGGAGCCTTCTCTTCTCCAGGCTGCACAAGCTCAACTCTCTCAGCCTGTCTCCAGAGCAGAAGTGCTCCAGCCTTTTGTGGATCATTTTTGTGGCCTCCTCTGGACTCGCTTCAACAGCTCCACGTCCCTCTTGTTTTGGGGGCACCATAGCTGGACACAGGACTGCAGTGAGGATCTAACCAGAGTGGAGTAGAATGGGAGAATCCCTTCCCTTGACCTTTCTGAGTGTTCTTGTAGCCACCACTTAGATGGAAAAATAACATAGTTCATAGTTTTAGCTGCTTTGATTCAGTAAAGGAAATGCTCAGGGTGAGTAATGGCATCCTTAATCAGCCTAGGCCTTGCACACACTTCAAAACACCTTAAAGTTAAATCAGTGCTGAAGTAAGACCTTTGTAAAGTTAGCAGCCAAACAAGAAATGCAATCTAGCTGTGTCGACATAATTGAGTATTCCAGCAAGACATGTGAGACATAAAACAGGTTTGGAAATCCAATATCTTCACAACAAATGATCTATGCAGCATATTAGTAAATTTAAGCTTTTCGATTTTGTGGTAGTTACATAAGCCTTTTCAACAATATTAAAATGTTTTCCAGTATAGAAAGAATTCGTATTAGTCACTTCCCATCTCAAGGCATAAATAGGTGAAGATAAATATGAATCAGAAAATTTCTTTCATGTTTTATTTGAATTTATATCACATCCACAAAAATAGAAACATTCTTTAGAACCATTTTGTGATACATAGTCTCCAAGCTGAGATTTACAGTGGCAATAGTGAAATACCTAACTTGGATTTGTTTCCACACGTATGCATTGAAGATGATGTTGTGAGAAGCAAGCAGGAATTATGCAATGTGCTGCAGAAAGGAAGATGAAAATGTAACTGAACATTTTAATGTCTGAGTGGTTCACCAGCCTACATACAGTTTCTCAGGATGTTTTCAGAGTTAGTTGCTCTATTTTTGTGCAGAAAATATAAGTTTGAGAGTGCTCATGCCAACACGTTTAACATTGTGATTTGCATGTAACTATATAAATATAATATACTTTCCAATCTAGAGCTTTGTACATATGAAAAATTATGGTACAATAAAAATCTATACACATGGTGCTACCAGTTCAGCAGCCGCTAACTCAAAGGATACATCTAAAAATATGATTGCTCAGCTTCTGAAATATAAAAGAGCAATCAGAAATGCTTTTTGTTTAAATAGTAGTTTACATAAACATTCATCTCTTCATTTTCTCCATTTGCTTAGGTCTGGTAGAAAAAAAAAAAAGAAAACCCTCCCTTTGGCTGTTTGGATCTGTCCTTGGCAAGAACTGTAGTTTTGAAAAGTCCTTTGTGTTTGTCTTCAGCAAAGGTTAATATGTTTGTAAAACAGAGTAAATGTTGGATGGCTTCTATTCCAACTTTGTGCCATTGTAATGCTGAATGACAAATACCTAATCTGAAAAGTTCTGCAGAGTGGGCATAGAAACTTGCACAATTTCCATGTGCTGAACGACGTGACAGTGGAAGACTGACATTTATACTGCACTCAAAGTAAATCACCCTCTAGATTTATACAGTATGCTTCTAAATAAAGCTTTACCTTTCAAAACTTTTAAAAGCAGGTTTAGCTGCTGCTCTGTAACCAAGCAGTGACACGTGTCTATCACAAGCTCATTTTTTTTCCCCAGAAGTCTGATGAGAGGTCTGGTAGAAAGCAGCTTTATGAAGATATTACAATCAGTTGCTGTAAGATGTATGTTCCTGAGATAAGGTACAACAGTATTGTGGATTTTTGATGGTACCAATGATTTCAGATTTCACCCAAGGTGTGGAGGGGGGTGGTGGGGTGTGAAGAGCATGGAGCAAAGGGCTGCAAATAACCATGGGGTGGGGGGAAGGAACAGTCTTTAAAGCAGAGACAAGGTGCTCTCCTTGTCTGGTGTCCCGATTCTTGTTATATGCACTACAAAATTATGGTAAAGGAAGTGGAATATAGCTAATCAATGTAAAAAAAAGGAAATTCTTAAGTTGCGCAAAAGCAAGCACAGTCAGTCCAGAAAAAAACCCGAGAGAGAGATAGACTGAGGGAAGAAATGCTTTGAAGTACAGAGGCTCATTATTTGATTTGTAAATAAGATGAACCTCTCTCCACCCAGGTTATGAAAAGTAAAAATTGTCGTGTATGGGTAATTGATGGTGACAGATCTGGCAAACATGATGTAGGAGGTGGTGCTATTGTTTGACATGCCCTACATGCGTAGATAACAAGTTAGGCTCTCATGTTTGCCTAGAAATTGTTTCTAAGCACATTTGATACCCTTTATATTGATAATTCTGTTGCCTCTTGGTTTCATCTCTTTCCTCTTAAGACAAACAAAAAATGGAATATCCTACAACCTCCAACTGCAGCTTGCAGTATTTCAAGGTAATATGGATTCAAATCCAGGGGCACACCTGTAAAAATGGATATCGGATGGACTTAGTATTCTTAATTGTTTGGGTTTTTTGTTTTTTTGGTTTGTGGTTTGTTTTTTTTTCCTGGACTTCTCAGTCTCTGTTCTGTTTTCCAAATTCCCCATCACTGAGAAAGTGGATTGGAATTGATCTTGGTTTCACCCCTGTTAAAATCACCAAGAAAATTCTGTTTCTCAACTCCCACATCTCATGTCCTCAGTGACCTAGTGAAGGGCTGCCTCCTCTAGTTTTCATTCCCCCATGTTCTACATGTGCTCAGTATCAGCAGGAATCATTTGTGACTTGAATTAAAAAAAAGCTGCCAGTGAACATTCAGTCTCCACATGGGACTGCTATAGAGAGCCCAAAATACTGACCCAGATCTGAATGTCCCCAAAATCCCAGTGTCTTTATGTTGGTGGGTTTTCCTCAAACTAAGAATCCCAAGCATAGTTGACAAATACAAATACAATATAGTTAACTTGAGAAAAGTAGGGGAAACTAATATTTTACATGCAATAGAGCTATGCATTTATCAATGGTTTTTTGAAACTATCTGTCTGAGTGAGACTTGACCTGCCAGGAGGACCATATGACTTGAAGGAAGTGGAGAGACTCTCTCTCATGCCATGGGATTAATATAAATTCTGCTGGCCCACCTCCTCACTGTTTCATATTGCATGGATGTGAATGCTTTAATTAGGCATATAAGAGGGTGGAAGGAGTATTAATATTTCTGCTGGGAAACTGGTGTCTTTTAGTATGTTTGCCCAGTCGGAAAACAGTCATCTTCCTTCAATAGCTTCTGGTCCTGAGATTGACTCTTTTCCTGCAGTTCATCTCAAAGATGTTAGTTAAAAACAAATAACCCTTTTCCTGGGATGAGCTGAATGCCCTTTGGAGGTTAGGGAGGATACTCAGTACCAGGTAAGCTCAGGTCCTAAACTTCTGCCTACAAAAGAAGGTCCCAGTGGAGGAAGTAGGATGGGCTCATGCTGACAGCCACATTGCAGCACCATTGTTCTCAGAGGCTGGGATAAGCTAGCTGAAGAGGAACCCACCATCTGATTCAACAAAAGCAACTAGAAGCCAGCAAAACACTCAGAAATCAGAAGGGAGGAACAAGTAATATTGGCCAAGGGAAGCTATATATCAGCTGACTATGGAAGAAGACTACTTGGCTCAGAGATGCTGTACTGTTTCCTCCACTTATAGTTGCCTTCCAAAGTAGGTTATCATACTCCCTAAATGCCCTAGTATTTAGCTCCTTCCCTTTCTCTGTGTGAGTCGTAAATCACATTAAGCCTGTATGACTTAAAAAAAAAAAAAAAAGAAAAAGAAAAAAAGAGGAAAACTTCACAAGAAGGGAAAAATAATCATAATTCTATAATGTTAACTTATATCACAGAAAACTGTGTACATTTTTTCCCCATACAGGACATACTTCAAATAAAATAATTTTAACACCAATAATGATACTGTTCCTTCTTCCCGACAGAAGTAGAATTGGTTTTTCACCCTAGTTTGGTACATAAATATAAGAAAATAGTCTTTGAATATTTACATCCAGGTGTTTTAAATGTTTTTTCTTAATGTATTTAATTCTCATTTTCTCTCCAGCCACGGGCATTCTTTCCAAATTTATACACTAATCTCCGACCATCCACACGCTCCAGGATTTCTCTTTTATAATAGTATCTGTTGAAATAAAAACATAGAGAAAGATTCAACATTACAATCACCTATGGTTCTAAAAGGCCATTTCCAGCTAGGCAATCCCTCAGCTAGCTGAAAAGTCTTTATTTTCTATAGGATACATATAATACGTAAGATTATTATAATAGAAAGAGAAGAAAAAATTGATGTTTTCTTTTTACTTTATATTAGTTATTTTCTGAGTTGGAATTTCACTATATTTCAGGTCATAGCTGTCATAGTTTAAGTGCAGTCAATAACTCAGACACACGGATCCCGCTCGCTCACTCCCCTCCTTTCTCCCTCCTCACTCCCAGAGGGACAGGGAGGAGAATTGAAAAAATGTAACTCCCATGGGTTGAGATAAGAACAGTCCAGTAACTAAGGTATAACACAAATCACTGCTGCTACCACCAATAATGACAATGATAAGGGAAATAACAACGGAAGAGAATACAACCGCTCACTACCCGCCGATACCCAGCCGGACCAAGCAGTGAACTAGCCCTTCCTGGTAACTCTCAGTTTACGTCCTGGGCATGACATGCTGTGATATGGAATAGCTCTTTGGCTAGTTTGGGTCAGGTGTTCTGTCTGCTGACTCCCAGCTTCCCCTCCTCCCTGGCAGAGCATGAGGCTCAGAAAGTCCTTGGTCAGACTAAACATTTGAGCAGTAACTAAAAACATCGGTGTTATCAGCTCTGTTCCCAGGCTGAAAGTAAAAAACACAGCACTGGACCAGCTACTAAGGAGAAAAATTACTGCTACTGCTGAACCCAGGACAATAGCATATAGCTATACTTATTACACATTCTTATGAGATTTCATAGGATATTTTCTCCAGAAGTCAGGACCTGAAATCTGACCAGGAGAGAATGTCAGCTTCCACTTAAAAATACACTTTGAACTTTTATAGAATGTGTAAAAATGCTCAAAATCTTAAAGCAGAGAGCAAAGAAAATCCTCACACAGATCTTCTAAAAGTATTTTAAGGTAATGGACGGTGGTATGTCTAGTTTCTGAACACTGATGGAAATAACAAGGTCTCCAGCCATTACTAGGCCATTTAAGCCTTCCCAGTTTGGCAGCATGTGAACTTTCAGCTTGCTACATCCATGTTTCTTTCCTACCTGGCTGTTTGGGTGGAGAGCAACAGAATATATATTATATACATAACACATGTATGTTATATATATTATAGCATACAGAAACGTGAGGGGAAAGAAAAGACACAGAAGAACATTGTTACAATCTCAAAATTATTGGGAAACAGTTCTCAAAGAAAGCAATTGGTGCTGCTGCAAATTCATTTTTTAAAATAAGTCAACCAAATTCTCCATTCAGGTAGTGTCTTTATATGCCCCAGTCTTCTGCAGCTACATCTCTGCTCACCTCATAGCCCGGCTGAGTTTCTCATAAGTCATGCTGCTGTTGTTTTTCTTCTTTCCCCAGAGCTGAGCCACAGCTTCAGATTTTAAAAATCTGAAGACACCTTCTGACCGATCTTCCCACTTGATTAATCCTGGGTTTTTCTCAGGATTGAGAAGAATATCTCGAATAAATTCCCAAAGGTGAGTTCCTCGAGGGTCTGAAAGAGGAAAGGGGGCAAGAGGAAGGAATATCTAAAGAGCCTTCTGGCATAGGCTTGACATTTTTATGTCATGTTCTTACAGTGTGTAACCTACAGATGGTCACCGTTTGGTAGGGACAGGCCATAGTCTTGGAGTGCAGGACTCCTACCTCAGAGATAGATAGACAAAAAACACTGACAGCCTTTACACTGAGGTTGGAGGTAAGTATCAGCCTTCGGCAACTCTGAGCCCCATGGTGGCAGATAGGAGCCCCAACAACCAGGAGAAGTAGCATCTAAACCATCCCCTGCTTCCTTCTGCCTTTGGCACTGCTCCTGCCCTGGAGATAACACGTTTAAGTCTCCCCTTCATCTCATTTGCCCATTTTTCCTGATATTCTTCTACAGCATGTCATGTAACATGATATTATCATGTGGTATGTGAAAGAGCCAAGATAAGCTTTTAGAAGACAGACAGAAGGCAAAGGAGGTGAAATGCTGCTTGACGTCAATGAGTATTGGTCCCACATCTCTTAGATAGGCTTAAAGAAGTAAGAAGGTATAGAATAGATAGAGGGATAGTGACAGAACTGGCCAGCCAATATTGCCTGCGAAAAGGGTTTTAAAAAGTTTGACCATGATATTAGAAAAGGCAAAACCAGATCTCTAAATTCAGCAAGTAGACCTCCCAGTTTAAGTGCAAATTTTTCCCACAGTTTCAGTAAAGATGGCACCAGAAAGCCCAGGTCAAAAAGAAAAATATTAAATAAATCAAATCAGATGTAGCAGTTTAGGAATGAAGAATAACAAACATAGTGATGAGGTGGGCCAGAAAGATAGCAGTTGTTTGGTCTGATTTCAAAACTATGCAAGGGTATTCAGACCCTAGTCAAAGATGTGAAGGTAAATAGAAAATGGTATACAGTGCAACATCAATTAAATCACTATGTTTCTTTGTTAAAATTGTTTCCTAGAACCAGCAACTTGTGCTGGACCTACTCTATCTGGACATGTGTAACATAATCAATAGATACAGAGCAGTAATGATGAAACTAGAAATTATTAGACCATCATGGCAAGGTGACCTTTTCCATATGACAAGGCTGTGATTGAGTTCTTGGAATCATAGACTACCTCAAATCAGAAGGGACTCATAAAGATTATGGAGTCCAACTTCCCACTCCACATAGGACTACCTAAAACTAAACCATATGACCAAGAGCTTCGTCCAAACACTCCTTGAACTCTGAGAGGCTTGGTGCTGTGACTATTTCCTTGGGGAGATTGTTCCAGTGGCTGTCCACCCTCTCAGTGAAGAGACTTTTCCTAATGTCCAATCTGAACTTCCCCTGATGCACCTTCATTCTATCTCCTTGTGTCCGACCACTGGTCAGCAGAAAGAGATCAGCACCTGCCCTTCCACTGCCCTCCCTGAAGAAGTTGTAGGCTATGATGAGGTCACCTCTTGGCCTTCTCTTCTCTGAGCTGCACAAACCAAGTGACCTCAGATCTTCACAGGTCTGTCTTCAGACGAGTCCTACCTAATCCTTTCATTAGCAGCCCTGACATAAAAACACACACACAAAAAAGAAGCAAGATATCTGTCTGCAGAGAAAAAGTTCGGGAGTTCTGGCTCGGCAAAGTCACAGAGCAGGGTAAGAAGAGGAGTCAGGAAGAGACACATAATCTGAAGACCAAACTGAAACAGGATGAAATCAATTAGTATAAAATGCAGCAAAGGTCCAATATTAACATTTTCTGACACAGATAAATGATGTAGGATGCAAAAGACATACACAAGATATTTTCAGCATTAAAATCTCAGCAAAGGACATAATAGAACTATGTCCAGAAATCAGTTACAGTAACATGTCTTCAGAATCAGGTTTAATCAAAACTAGCAGATAAAGGGAGTGGAACAACTGTCAGATCAGAGGGGAAGAAAGCGGCAGGATTGAGGGGCAGGTGCTTGCTTGTTATGACATGTGTGAGAAGTTCTGCAAGAAGATTCTAAGCAGGGTCTCTGGGACACGCTGCAGCCGGCAGGCATAGACACGAGCATGGCCATGCACACACAGACTTTCCTGATTTAGTCCTGGGTCTCCTTCATCATTTTTTTACTCCAGTCCACTAGCCCAGCCCAATACAGGGCAGAGGCAACTGGTTTCTGGTTGCTTCCCCATAAGCTCTTACTGGTAAAAATTTGAAAAGCATAAAAATACTGATGCAAAAATCATGATAAGCAAACTGTACTAGAAACAGTCAGGTCATTGGACAATTCAGTTACAATAACAATCTAACCACTTTTGCTTTTGAAATGCACCTTTTTCCCTCCTGAAGGGGATTTGCTTTCAGTGTGTTTCTTTTCCTTCAGCCAATCAACCACTATAAACACAGATGGCGACTTACTGTGCTTCTTGGTGTGGGACTTTGGTATATGATCTTGCGATTTTTTCACATCTGAAGACTCTGCAGAGAAGGAAAATGAAACCTATTTGTAAGTTTGATTAAAGGCTTTCCGTTGACTAGCAAGTTGAAAGAAATATAACCACAAAAAAAGAACAAATATCTCTCTTAAAGATAATCACTTTTCAGAAGGTAATCTAAGTGAAAAGGAAGGGGGAGAGTTTTGTTTTCTGTACCATATGTTAATCAGCACACTTCATAAAGAGACCGTTGATGAATAAAGAATGAATCCAGAGGTAAACATTTGGCTTTTGAAACCTAAATTTGATTAACAAATATCTCACCTTATGTTATGTGTGTGAGAGAGAAAAATAAGACGATCACGTCTATAAAAGGAATCCTGAATTGTCCCATTATGGCTTAGTCTTTGCAGAAGCATGTATCTTTGGGGGCTTATTTGTTTCTGAAGTGGTGATCTAATGTAAAATGTATGCACTGGTACCAATGCACAGAACACCTACCTGACTAAAACGTAATGAACTGGCAAAGCATTGTTGTTTGGGGGTGGAGGCAGGATGGGGGAACAGGGCTGCACTAGTGGGAGTTTTTGGCAGCTGGACATGCATATATTGTTCCGTGGCTCGGAGCCATAGGAACAAGCCATTTCTCATCAATAGTGCTTTATCACCTGCATCCAGACAGAGGAGGAGTAGGGTTTCTGGCACAAGCACTTCTACAGAAATGAAGGGGAAAAAAAAGTTCCGCCTGTTCATGACTGTAACCTACCTCGCAGTCTGCACGTTCTACCCTCCTGCCCTCAAACCACCACAGCATGGCTCTGCTCTTGTCATTAATGAATAGCTTTCATCTGATCGCTCCAAGTCTCGCAAAATCTGTGGGATAATCCTGAGCGGGAGCCCGTTCTGTGTTTGCTTTTCAGCATATTTTGTGCCTGAATTCCGTGAAGTGAAGCTTAAGGTCCCACGCATGTTTTCCCAGCTTCTATGAATGCATGATTATCATACTTTTCATGGAAACTGGGAATTTGCATGGGAAAATGACTCACAGGAAACATTCATTTGCATAGAAACTTGTTGGATTTGCACAAGCAACTGCAAAGACTGCATGTGAAAAGGTAGATGCAAAGCTATTCACACACTCACTTTATTCATACATAACTGGAAACATAAACTGAACAAGTCAGTGAGGATAAGGCTAATCTCCACCATTCTGAGCCTAACATAATTATTGTCCTTGACCCCCAAGCAGCAAACGCACTCTGAGTCATTTTGCCTGCCCACTCTCAAAGAGCAGGGAATAGCCTGAACCTCACTCAGCTTGGAGGGGGAAAGCAAAATGAGGTTTATTTTATTGCCTTTCCTCAGATTATAATTCCCCTGATGTTATCAAAATCTGTGGAACCCCCAAGCAGGACCAGTCCTTTATTTGCCCTCTTATATAAATCTGTCTCATTTTAAAATCATACAATTCGCTTGCAAATGTTTGTTATGCTCCACTTAGCTGGAGATTTATTCTTGGAAGTTCAGTTGCCTTTTGCCTAGGTGGTGATTTGTTCTGGATTTCAGCTGTGTAAATAGCCTCCCGCTCTGCCTCTGCTCCTACGTGGAGACCGGTTTCAAACATGCCATGTTAGGAGGCTGGGGCCTGACAGATGAAAAGAGTTACGATGCAGTTTCAACAAAGCTGTCTTGCAAAACTTTCGACAAAAGGTTGCACAGTATTTGCATATGATTCAGGAATGAGCCATTTTTTTTTTACGGGATATACAAATTCAGTTTTTACAGGAGGCTGTGCCCTTGGCGTGCCACCCTAGCTCTAGGCTTAAGCAGTCAGCAGGTAAACACACGGTGCTAAGATCTTGACAGGTCCCCAGTCCTGTCGGAGAGCTCCAAAATCCTTGTAGCCATCTTGCGAGAGTGGGTGGAGGTGGCAGGGAAAGCAAACAGAGTGCATGAGGTATTTTAAGGTTTGCTGGTTTTCTTCTTCTGGTCAGGTTTTCTCTTACTTCATTTATTTTTCAATTCATGGCTGAGCGCACTGGTTTAAACCGTAGGTCACTTGGCAAGTCTGGCTGTTGCTGGGAGGCCAGCGGATGCAACAAACAGGCAGGCACAGAGGCTGTGCTGCGGAGTCATAGGTCTGCCCCCAACATAAAGGTAGCCCTTGTGAGGCTGTATCTAATGTAGTGTGCTTGCCTTTCTCATCCTCCCATGATTCCCACTGCTTTCTCTCTCAGGTCTGTTCATTCAGCCTTCTAAGGAGGACCTGCCTTCCGCGGGGCGCTATGGTAAACAGGATTGCTCTTTTTCTTGCCCTTTGGCAGGCAGATTGTATCACTGCCTCGTGGAAGCACCGTGCATGGGTGAAAGGGCATGTGGTGCCTGCCCTGCTCTCCACTGAGACAAAGACCAGCAGGAATCCCTTCTGCTGGGGCAGCTGGGCAGAGAGCTTGCTGCCAGCCCTATGGCTCCCCAAACCCAGCCCCAAACCTAGCAATCTACTAAGCATGAACCACTTGCTCTCTAGGGAAACACAGCCACTTCTGGGGAGGAACAGGTCACTCGTTTACCCATACCCAGCTATGCCACAGAAAAGTGTGGAGAGCTGGAACATCTCATCTCTCTCACACTAATACCTTCTGCTTTGCCTCAGTCACTTTAAAAGACATGTGGAGATTGCAGATTATTTGATCTTCCTTTTTTTGACAGAGAAGCATTTATTTAAAGAAAGCTATTGCACAAATGATAGTTAAAATAACTATCAGAATCAGTATTCATAGTATCACAGAATGGTTTGTGTTGGAAGGGACCTTAAAGCTCATCTAGTTCCAACCCCTGCCTCAGGCAGGGACAGCTTCCACTAGACCAGGCTGATCAAAGCCCTGTCCAACCTGCCCTTGAACACTGCCAGGGATGGGTCATTGCTTAATTTAAAATTACTGGAGGCTCAGATTCAATCCTACAACAGAAGACGACACAGACTATTACATGTCGGTAGCTCTGGGACAAGTGACAAAACAATTAACAATATAATTACAAGTTCCTTACCAGGAGGCTGGTGACTAGGTGTCGTCATAGAAATCTGAGAACGACAGAATGTTTTACTGTCCAGTAGTTCTGGGAATTAAAGAGAAGACATTTAGAGTAATAGCCTTAGACAACAATAAAACCATCTCAGAAATACGTAAGGTATTGTGCTGTTAGTTACCTACTGTGCTACCATAGCCACTGTCATAGAGATAATTCTCTTCTTTCCAGGACACCATTAACGATGGATCTGAAGGTAAAGGACCAAAAGGAAAATCACTAGAAGAACATTTTTTAAGCACAGAGGTGAATATTGAGCACTGAGAAAATAACAAATGTTCAGAAAACAAAGCTGAGAAGGGAAGAAAAGTGAAGGGGCTGTGCAAGAAATTATGTCCTTTCACTGAAATTATGAATGGGTTTTTGCATATTCGGGCAAATTTACTTACACAAAGCACTGACTTTTTGAAATAATGTAGTAAGCTCTTCCTTTTGATCATAGAATCATAGAATGGTTTGGGTTGGAAAGGACCTTAAGGTCATCTAGTTCCAGCCCCTTGCCATGTCATTTACACCTGCCCTTGAAGGGGGTGTCTTATGCCAGGTCAACTCTAATTCTACCCAGTTCAGCCCCTGCTGATTATGACAGTGCTTTGGTCCCCTAGAGATGAAAGTGCTCTCAAATATCTAGTAAACAGGAGGATGCTTAACATGAGTATTTATTTCTATAATGGTAGAATTCGAAAGTGCCCTCTGAAACAGAGCTTCATGTGTAAGTACGCAATGAGAAACATCAAAGCCCAATACTAGATGAAGGGCCATTTTACTCCAGGCACGTCATATCCCCATCCTTAACCTAAAAACTACCTTCATGATTAAAGAAGAAAAATTTTTAGTGACCTTCTAGTCAGATGGATCAATGTAAGCAGAACTGAAGTACTGTCTTCATGACACCTACATTAGTCGGGAAATTAGTCTCTTTACAGTGCATTTTTGAGACCAGAAGCCTTAAAAGTCTCTTTTTCATTTGAATCCAGATCAGAAAGGATGAGATAAAAGGTTCAAATCTAGGTTTTACTTATTTTTTTTCAAGTCCGTACAAATGAAATAAAAGAAAAAACAAAAATGAGTTATAGCTAAATCATCATGTTTGGCTGAGTTAACTCTTATGACATAGGAATTTAGCAGGCATGCGAAGTAATAGCTGCATGTTTGGGCACCCAGAGCTTGCGTTCCTATAATAGCACACACCCTTTGCTTGCTTTGACACCTGATCTGCCTAATGTTGCCTCTGAAGACAGGCCTAACCTAGCCAGAACATGGGCAGACAGCTTGTGGTCCCATTTGTCCGTTTTCAGCACCCACATCTTTGTAACTGCAAAAGTCTACTTGAATGAGATCAGCTTCCCCTCTAAACCCTTGTCCCTATCCCTGCTGCCCCACAAGGAGTCCCTTACCCAGCAGCCCAAATCCTCCCCATGCAGGAACTAAACCCACTCCCACTGCCCGTGACTGGCATTGCCAGGGCCCCACCATGCCACTCCTGATCAGTGCAGCTTGAAGAACCATCCTTTAGTCCTTGGCTGTGACCTTTCTGGGCTGTGCACTCCATTGTGTATCTCTAGTGGGAGGAGGAACTAACATAATACCAAGATCTTGTTAAGTCAGGACTTAAAGGATTACTTTAGTTTTCGATATGGCAAGCACCAAGGCTGGTGTAGGCACATCACCCATACTACAAGGGCACAGGCAAGGAGTGGATTGCAGATTTCAGAGCTTGACCACTGCATGGGGAAGATTAAGAGCATCCTGTCCAGGAAGGCTCAGCTTCTCTGCATTAGATGAATACATACACTGGCAGGACTTGTCAGACGTTGCACACTACAAATCTGTATTCTTTCTGACAGCAGGTACTAAAACGTGGCTCATGAATACACCCACATACAAAGAGACTAGTGGGGTAGAGAACGTCTGAATATGGACAGAGGTGCTCTGGCAAATGAACCAGGAAAATAATTGTGACTGAAGAGGAGGATTGAAACAAGCTGAAGTTCCTTTTCTCGGTGAAACAAAGTCCTGGGAGGAAAGGGATTTAGCTATGAACACACTGGGGGAAAAAAGACTGTAACAGGAAAAATGAAGATTTGATCAAAGCAAAATACTGCCTAGGTTTCAGTCTCACTGAAATGTGAAGAAATTAAATTAACTTTTTTTTTCTCTCAAAATTGCTTTGTTTGGAAATTTCCTCATGTTTCAAACATTAAGAGCATTTCACAACAAAATATTTTTATTTTCTTTTTTAAACTGAGAATACTGTGAAAGCATTTGTTCTGAATACTGCTGAATGAAGTATAGAATGAAGTCCTCTCCAAAGCTGCATTTGCTGAGCACTACAAACTATTTTCCAACTCTGAACATCAGTATAGGCTGCTGATACTGCAGAGTTCTCCCAGGAGAAGTGGCCACATGCAAACTAAGATATGGTGGTACTACCCAAAACTTCAAAAAGTAGACACTGACTAATATTTGTGTTACTTCTTTTGTTCTGCATGATACACCTTCCATTTTATTTCACACCATTTTGATGTGTCTCTCTTGGAGTGAAGAGTTTCCCATTTTTCTCATCATCAAAAGACAAGTTATCCAATTGTTACTTACCTGTTTGCTCTGTCTTCACAATAACATTATGAGGTTGGTACATGTCACTTCCACACTGGCCTGAAAGAAAGCATATGGCAGATAGGCTGTATGACAAAGAGTACAGAAAGGTCAAAAGTATTAGCTCCAAGCAGCGATACAGCTGATCCAGAGGGCTAATTCTGGAGTGGGAAACATCCTTTTCCCCTGGTCCTTCAGACTTCTGCCTTCTCTCATATTAAACAATTTACCAGTACAGTGAATGAGTTGTAAGCAGTATATCAAACACAGCAAATGAGATCTCCCAGGTAGTTGCCTAGGGAGCTTCAGCAGCTCTGAAGATCCCAGAATTCAGATCACCATCCGTGCATCTCTGCCTACTATCTATTTACCATTCCATTTTAGGTGCTGAAGGTTGCTGTAAAGCAGTTGCCCTGCTGTCCCGGCTGCCTGAGTGAATTCTTGCAGGCTCATACTGCACAGGTGCTCCCCGTTGATATCAAACTCCTGGAAAGGTATGCAGTTGGCATCCAGTTGGTTGGTGTCAAGGAGATGCTGCAGCCATTCCCAGACTTGAAACTTAGTCCAGTACTGCGGGTGTATTTCATGCCACTGTGTCCCATAGAAGCTGCTGGACACTGGAAAACAAAATAAGTGTTTACTGCCTCTGTTAACACCATTGGATTATGTCAACAAGAAGAAAGGTCTATGGCTGAATTGTATGCCCTGGAAGTCCACGGATCTGTATTGTTTTCTCAGTCCTTAACACTAGCTCAGTAGCTATTGCTGGAGAAGGTATTGGGTTGTTTGGGCTTGGGTTGTGGGGTTTTCTTTGCCTGTTTTCTTATTGAAACCTGAGAATTGTTATATTGTACCTCTTGGCAGATTACGTAGGGATTTATTTATTAATGTTGGCTGAATACACTAAAATTGATGGAAGATATGTTACAGAAGCACTGTTGAAAAGGGATATTGATCCTTATGGGGGAAAATAATTTTAGTGTCTCAGAAATATGATGGAAAAGCCTTGCAAAATTCTCATAACATGACGTGGAAATTTTCTTTCAATAAGGACTAGATATGAATTGTGGGATTCAACCAAGGAAGGGTAAAAGCCAAGGCACTCCCATATTGCTTGCCAATAAAAGCCTATCAGTATGGTCAGCAGCTTTATGATAGAGCTCGCATTCTCATGAATGCATGTTATCTCTGTAGTCAGGTAAGGTAATTGCTGAATGCAGTTGTAAAAGTAATTTTTAGTTACAGAAGCTGTGTAATGTTCTTGTTAGGATGTCTGAATCTTCTCTTGGCAATCTTTGAAACTGCTGTCAGTTACTTGTATGTCATTGCATGACAATAATTTCTGTGTGCAAATGAAAGAAATTGTATGTGGGGGATACAATAATTATATAAGGGTAAAGACAGGACTGCATTAGTCTGCCCTCACAGGAGGAGCTCAGTGTAATTTATTCTTTGGGAAAGGAGGAAGATGTAGTATGCCAGGCAGAGACAGAAGCATGATAAAATGCTCACTTGTGCATGAAGGTTTAATGATGAAAAGGGAAAGGGAGATTGAAGAGGTGGTTATTTACAGGAGGAGGAAAGACTGCCATGGCCTAGGTCTACAGTAGCCCCACTCCAGGATATTGCATCAGTTCATTCTCCGCAAGAAAAAGACTACATACACAGCTGTGAGAAATGATGGTAGCAGTGGATATTGCTAGAGGACCACAAGCAACAGAGTTGGTATATTTTAGGAAACCACCTCCCATCAGGCTGCACTAAACCTCATGTCTCTTCAGTTGAGATACAGGGTGCAGTGCTAGTTTCCAGTTAAACACAAAAAAAGCCCCACAGTTACTTAGGTTTGTTTATCATTATTTGCCGAGAAGGTCTATGCCAGTAACTTAGAGAGTTTGCAGGACTGTTTCTCATCCTCCTGTTGAAGGATTTGGGGAATGAGTGCGGAAAAGAGTGAGTGCAGTATATCAGAGAATAAAGATTTGATGAAGCCATCAAGTATTCCCTGAAAAGGAGACTGATATTTATTCCCATCACTTCAGAAGGGTAAAGGAACTTCAGAGGCTGCTAGACTCCTAATGCAAAGGAGAGCCTTTAAGTGAAAGGAAAAGGTAGTACAATAAAAGTGGTGAACGATTGCAGAGGCTGGTCTGACCTTTAGGCTTCTTGTCCCTCTAAAACACAAGTGAAACCTAAGAATTTTCACACTGGAAACCTGAAAATAGACCCCCCCTCCATTACCCTTCATGAAGTCATGTGCAAAGGGACACTCTGACAGGACTTCTTTTCCCCATTAATCTGTTAGAGACAGGTTGGCACATTTATTAAGCACATGCTTATGTATTCTTGTGTATTTAGAAATTACACATAAAAAAGAACAGGAGTTTCATTCAGTAGGAACTTTCATTGTAAGTTTTGTTGCAGCATTATTTGGCTTAGAAGGACAAAGCACATGCTTATGTATTCCTGTGTATTTAGAAATTACACATAAAAAAGAACAGGAGTTTCATTCAGTAGGAACTTTCATTGTAAGCTTTGTTGCAGCATTATTTGGCTTAGAAGGACAACTGCAGTGTATGTTTGCCTAGATTTTAAGTCTACCTGTCAATTGAGTGATTAAAAGAATTTTAATATTATATTAAACTGTACATATATAGATATATGACTATAGTTTTTTTTGTACTGAGGAAGAGAATATATATGAACACATTTTTATATGTGGCCATATAATCAGAAAAAAAGCTAAGGAAAAAGAAAGTTATCAGATCACAAGCTATCTAGTGCTCTAATGCCAGTCTAATTAGAAAGCTATCTTGTCATTTGAGCTGAAAAAACAAATACAGTAAAGGAGGAAGAGGGCTATTCCCCTGGAAAGCCAGAGGGGTGATTAGCATTGAAAACTAATGTTGGTTCAGAGAAGGTGTGAGGAGTAAAGATAAGAGAGAAAGAATTCTGAACAGAGGAGATTTTTGGGCACTTTTAGCACCACTACATTAATTTTAAGAAAAAGAACCAGTAAAGAAATAAACCATAAAATGGTCACTTTCAGAAACAGTGTTGTGAGTTCAGATTTTCACAAATAAAGAAACAAATGGAAATTTTTCTTATCGGAACTGAAACCCCAGTAAACTAGCATTGCTGAAAAATAATACTTGTGCATGCTTGAAGGTGTAAAAACCCCTTCCCTATCTACCCCCCAAAAAAGGTGGTTTAGAACATTCAAATTCCTCCTACCATTGCATGTGGAATATCCGTCTGTCCAGGAAGGCTGCTGGTGAAGTAGGTTGCTGCTGGAATTGATACTCATTCTGCCAGCTCCTTCCAAAATCATGATCTGTAAGTGAATCAAACAGCTTGCTTAGTGAGTGGTGTCTAGTCCAAGAGGTAAATGGCAAACAAAAAAAAATCCACTGAAGACGAAGTGAGGAAGCCAATTCCATTTGTAGAAGATACAATTGAAATCAAGAGCATGTTGCCACAACCCCTTTTCCACTGCCACAAAATCTCCTTATGATAAACATTACCATGATTGATTTGCATATGCAGGAAGCAAGTTTCTACAGCTGCCCATCCATAAATGAATAATCTGTAATCAGAAATGAAGCCGAATAAAAAGACAAGGCTCCTGACAGAGCAATACAGGAAAACTGCCAAGCATAGAGAAATTAAATACTAAATATTTTTTTTCTAATTTAAAGAGAAATGTGGATTAATTTTTTTTCTTTTTTCATGTTTTTTTTTTTTTTTTGTTGGTTTGGGGTTTTTTTTTGGGTTGGTTTTTTTTTTAGGAAAGGGAATATACTTTTCAATAATTGCAAATGAAACTGTATAGTTGTCAACAACCCATGTCCAAAAACTCCCTCACACAGAAGGATGCACATGTTAATGCTACAGGGAGTTAATGTTACAGGAAATATCTTGTCAGCTGACCCAGTTTCTTATCTGATCTGTGTCAGCAGTGTCTATAACACTTCTCAGTAGCAAATATCACAGATCATACATTTCAAACCATCGAAAAACAGATGGTCAAAGATCTTACGGGACAGCCATTGTAACAGAAACAGCATTTTGGAGTGACACCACCTCTAAGATAGCATTCGCTTATATAAGTGACATAAACTTTCCTTTCTACTTAAATCTTAGCACTAGCACCACAAGTAAAACTGGTCTTTATTTTATTTATACTTAAAAAAACCCCAAAATCCTTATATGATATTTTAGAAAAATGTCATGTATTTATCACATGCTTAATCATTCCAGTGAAGGTTTACAAAATTCCCCAATTGCAGGTATTCTTGATATTTTATGTTATCTTTCAGTGGTTTGAAGTTGCAACATTTAAAAATATACATTATAACCACAGACATTCTTCAAGAGTTTGTGAAAGGTATTTGTTAAATAGTACAAATGCTTCAGATTGTTATTCTTACATTAATACACTGGGAAAAAAACAAACCAAGCCAAAACAAAAATGCCCAAAACAAAACAAAAAACTTCAAAACAACACAAAAAAAACAAATGCTGTTTAAAAATACTCTAAATTGAAAGCCAAAACATCTGTAAAAACGAAATGTTAGCTATTGGGATGGCATCTGCATGCAGCCAAGATTTCAGCTTTGAATTAAAAAGAGAATGAAATACAAAACAGACATGTGAGGGTTAAAGTCACTGGTCTTGGCTGTTTATACACTGAGACCAATGAAAAACTTCCATTGAAGGCACAGCCTTAGCCCTTACAAGCTCAGACCAAAGTCTTTTTTTGGTAGAAGAAAAGGACTCAATTGTAATACTCACAGCATTGGTTTTAAAGAACAGCCTGAAAGTTACCTGATTTGGCATTTTCCTCTGTCAATTAAACTAAATTATGTAGCTTTTAAAAGTTACAAGTCTTTCTCTCTCTTCCCTTCCTCCTATGTATATGTTTAGAGAGGGATAGGGGGAGAGATGTGTTACTGGGAATCTCTTAAAACACCTTAAGAAGTTTATCAGCGACTTCAGATCAATACATTGAAATTCGGTATTAAGTGCATATTGTAATTTCTAAAAAAGAAGTGAATTTACAAAACTAAGTTCCTAAAAGTGTTTTGCTAATTTACATTCCTTGTAAAGCACTAGCAATAGTACTTTAGAGTATAACCTAATTCAGGGATTTTGTAGCTATGCAGAATGGCAAAATCAAACCATAGATGTCTTAACGGTTACTTTCCACTCTTAATTAAAGCCAGTCTGTGACTCAGTGACTGCTAGCAAGGAGAATTTAGTTTTTCATAGCAGGTATGTGGGGGTATAAAATATTGACAGTTAAGAGAGATACCTATTGATCCACTTTGGCCAAGTAAAAGATGACTATCAGCGGGTAAATTTTTTGCAAATTAGAGCAGAAGACATTTTTTAGTCCCATATTAGTGCCGAGTGACTTAGTATGGTAAGGGAGAAGGTGTAAGGAAGCATTTAAATTCATAATACTGATTATAAAGATGCTCAGCATACAACATGAATATGATTTATCTCACACACTTGATATATAATAAATTTTAAGCAATTATGCATGTTTGACAATTAATACACACACTCCTGAGATTGCCAATGACATATTAAGTTATTCATTTCAGTTGGGTTTTAATCATTAAAACATTTATGAATGAAGTATTTATGGTAAAGACTTTATTACAGTATCAGAGAGAGGTGAGACAGAATACCAGATGTTCCGGGAAATTTATAAAACTGGAGGATTAACAAAACACCCTTAGGAGTTTAGTTTGTTAAATTTACTTCTTTTTAAAAATTAAAATAACTACTAAATGTTGAATTTCAACTTATTGATCTGAAGTCAATCAGAAGTTCAGAAGCCACCTCAGAATTTCAGGTACTTTGTTACGTAGTTTTGTCTTCTGCAGCTTCTTCAGTTTCTGGAATTCTACATAATTTTAACACCTGATACTTGTGCAAATAAACACGTGTCTGGGAAAATGTGTGCATAGGAACTGAAATGATTTCTGTGTTAAAGCTCCTATGTAATTTCGCCCTGAAAATTCAGTTCAGGTAAACTCTCATTTTTCATTCTTTATAATTAATTGGATGCATTTCCAAACCAAAATGTCCTATGACACTGATTCAGCAACTGAAGCTATGGATACTTAAATAAAACCAATCGTGTGTTTCGAGCAGTTTTCCCACCTTAGCAGTGACCAAAACCAAGAAAAGGTAGAGATCTGAGAAGAAGCATTCTGACAGCTTTTCCCTAAATTTGGATTTCATTTTTTTTCCTTTAAAATCTTTTTCCCTGTTATGGTCTATCAGATAGTTACTCTCTACAGTATTCCTAAACAACATTAACAGTATTTTCAGATATTGTGCATGGAACTTGCTTTATAAATTAGTCAATCAGTACATCCTGATTTTGAAAGCTATATAAGTTATTGCAACCAGAATAACTTAGTATCACCTATGGGAACAATTGTGCATAAAAGATAAAACTAGCAATGTGACATTAATCACAGTAACAAGACTGGATTTAGCTTTAAGGAGCCTGGTCTAGTGGAAGGTGTCCTAGCACGTATCAGGGGGTTGAAACGGTATAAGCTTTAAGGTACCTTCCAACCCAAACCAGTCTGTGACTCTATGATGAATCCAAACTTTCCCAAAGTTCTGTGTATTGTCCAAGGTACTGTTTTTTTGGCAACTTGAAAATTGCCAAGTCACCTCCTTTATCTTAATGCAAGGGTGTTCCTTATTTGGAAATCATCCTAGTTCTTTGTTCAGGGGGAGTATAAAGTCCTACTAACATAACTTCCACGCCTTTCCTTGGAAGCGTACAGCATCACGCTCAAGAATGTCTTCCCTATGAAAACTAAACTGTGATTTTCTCCATTTCATCCTGTATATGCCTTTCTTTGATACAAGTTCATGGAAGATTTATGCTTATAGCAGTGTCTCATTCCATGCTTGGAAAGATTTTGAGTCAGAATACTGGAAGGGGCGTGGTTTCCATTACTTTAGGGCCAAATCCTCAAATCTCCCTTGTGTACAGACAAACCTGGTTAAAGGGTGTGAAGCCTCAAGGGGAAGGACACATAGTATGTTCAATTTTCTTTTAATCATATGCCATGTATCAAAGAGAATGGTGGAACTAATGAAGCCTGGTTTCCTATGAATGTGTATCTTGTGGTTGGATTCTCTAGTGTCTAGTAAGATGTGAGCGCAGATTGAAGTTTTTCCCACGGTTGGGGCATTCATAATATCTCATTGTCTCAAAGGAATGAGCTCGAGCTTCACTCTTTCTTTCAGATGGAGTATTAATAGATTTTCCTGCCATACTTGGCAGCCAGTTTTCATTAATCCTGTAAGAACTTCATATCTTTGAGACTCCTACCCCCATATCAAATTTAATTAAAATTAGCGATGGGACCTAAAGATTGTCAGAGGCCAAAAGCAAAAGCCAACACACAGACAGAATAACCACAAAAGCCTCATTTCCTCAGGAAACCACGTTAAAAAGGGATTCTATCTGAGCTGAGACTTCAGAAAACAATATAAATATGTTGGGGCCTGTCTCTTTACTAAGACATGGTACATCATAAATGAAAGCACACATCAATATCATACATGTATATACACACACATGCATTTACATACACATATGCCTCTCTGTGTGCGCATTGCAGGTGTCTGTACACATATTTCCATTGTTTTCCACTGAAGAGGAACTATCTCTGGAGTATAATCTTATTATTATTATAATCTTATTATCTGACTAGGAACATTGCACAGTTATGAGAGGAAGCAAACAACACTTTACTCAGTCAGCGAGGTTAAGTACAGTTCTTCACTGGTGTTCAGCAATATTCTTTCTACAGAGAATCTTATGAGAAGGGACAAATGCGTCCAAAAAAAAATGTTTTGCCCCCATTCATAGGAATGGTTGTCAAAAGGTGGTATTCAAAGACCAAATGCTGAAGGCCTCTCCTGCTGAAAGCTCTCACTGGAGTCAGGAATAGCTTTGACTGAGCCACAGCCCAGCAACTTGGCAGTCACAGGAGGTCATTTGCTCTGTTCTTTTTGTCTTCCTTGACCGCCTGACCACTCTGAGCAAACAGTGGTAATGGAAAGAGCAAGGAGCCATGGCCTGCCCATGGAGCAAATCCAGTGATGCAGAAAAACATATTTACAAATCCTTGAACCTTGAACACTGTACAGTGCACTCTATGCAAATTATTTTATTGCACTACAGGTGCGCTGTGAAAATAAATTACTCTGATCCCCATTTTCACATCCAACCCAATGAGTCTTAACATCCAGGTGAGTTTCTCCTTTCTTTGAACCAGAATCTTTCAAGAACAGCTCATACTGAGTGACAAGAAAATGCCAAGCACAGTATGAGAGACGAATAAGCAGTGCAGAGAAAACAAGTGAATCCTGAAGTACTACAACCAAAGGGATTGTTCTGACATTGATTTGTACAGTTGCTTATGTTACAACACTGAACTGAACTAAGGGTCTCATTAACTACAGATATGAGAGGGTGTGGAGCCCATAGGGGAAGAGGCCTAAAGCCTTCAGGTTTGTAGAGATATGTACTTTATGCAAAACACAACAAAAGATGTCTAAGGCAGAACTGACTGAAACTATTAAGCTATGACTCCACCCTTAAGCTATGCAAAGTCTAAGAGTGACTTCTAGCTGAGACAAGCTCAATGCAGCTCCTCCTGGCGTGTCCAAAAGGGTGGAT